CATACCGAGATATCAGATTTTTAACACAAAAGTAGGTGTTTTTCTTTGTTTGGGTTGTTTTCTTTCTAAGGCAACCAATGCCCACTAAAGTGTCCGTGCAGATACTTCATCCACAATAATTACCATGCTTTAGGGGCTCTGCAAACTAATTTCTAAACAACCTGGTTTGCTTTTTTTCGCTGGGAACAGAGGACAAGAGAAAGCATTCTGCTATAGGCATTAGCATGGCTTATTCGTGACACCTGCTGTGGTCAGGTTCCCAGGGTGACTGAGGCTGTCATGTTGACTAACTCTTCAGGAAAACTCGAAATAATATGAAATTTTTAGTTATTTGAAAAACCTACACACCTTGGTCATGTCTGAACTCGGCACACAAAAGGAAATCGTTCTGTGCACAGCACAATTAACCTCAGGGACTCCCTCTGCTGTGATAATGCCAAGGCAAACAACACTGTAGTTTTAGGATTATCTTCATCTTCAATTTTTACCCAAATTTCCAAATTTGCCCACAGCTAGTGATAAGCCTGGGTAAAAAAGAGGAACTAGATGGTGCCATGCAAACCCAGACCTGTTTTTGAAAGGAACAACACCGAACATTCCATTACGAACATAAAATCTCCCCATGCACAGGGTTAACTTTGCAGAGTAGCACATTGTGCTTTCCTCAGCCCAGCCATGGTTCACTCTGTGCACTGGGGCATCCTGACTAACCCAAATCATCATTTTAGGCTACTCTGGTAACTGCATGAGCTGCTTTTAGGTAACTAAACCTTTTCCTAAGTTATCGACCTCTGCTAGGCCTGGGGCAAGAAGGTTCAAAGTTTACATATACATGGGATAACATTAAAAAATACAAAAATACTTGTTATTTCATTTAGCAAGCATGACCCCCCCCTACAGCACCAGGTGTGTGTTATAAGAACAGGTAACAAAACACTGCAGAGAAAATGAATAATTTACCTCCCCTCACCTACAGCTGTAACGAGTAACCCCGTACAGATTTCTAGCTGAACAAACTAGTACAAAAGGACTTGCATTTCCTTGGATGTGAGGTTCTGTAATGTTCCCATCGTAGATGAGAAGAGGCCTGTCATTATGCACAATTTCTTCCAGCCCTCAGCAACTTGTTGGCAAACCCACCCCTGCCACTCCCAGCTGCTGGGAAGGTGTAGGGGAATGGAGGATGTCCCTGAGGGGGCTCCCACCCCACACACAGCTCCCACATCGCACAGTTCCAACATCACACACAGCTCCCGCCCCACACACAGTGCCACTGGTCACAGACAGCCAGCACTGCCACCTGGAAGCTGAGGAGAAGGCAGAGTTCCTCACCTCACACAGCTGTACAGGCTGTTCCCCCAGGGTGATGAACCACCTCGTCCCACATCCCCTGTGCCCAGAGAAGCTCTCCCGTGGCACAGCTGGCACCGAGCCGTTTGTCCAGCCAAGCCTACCCTGGAGATGGCAGAGTGTCCCTGGGCACCTGCTGAGTCTCAGCTTCTTCATACATCAAGGCCACTCCCTCCTCCTCCTCCTCCTTTCCTGGCCTTCTCCAAAGCCCAAAGAGCCACCTCCCACCCCAACCACTCCCCACACCCGGGTGTCACTGCTGCCTGCAGACCTGGTGCTGGGTAACAGGTGGAACACACCAGGGCTCCTCCCTGCGATGGAATCCAAGAGGTGAGGGCCCTGCACAGGTGCTGGAATGGCCAGGAAACCAGGAGCACCAAGGATGGGCTGTTCAGGGCAGAGCATTGAGGCAGCTGAGCCCAAACTGCCACGTAAAACAACACATGATCTGCACAAAAAGAGAAGTCCAACAGCCCTGTGCCCGCTTGAGCATTATTGTCATTTGACTCTAAGATCACCTTCATCCTTTCCTGACAGCTGGAAGCTACTTGTCCAGAGCAGCTCAGGCAAACAGAGCACAGGAATGATCCAACCTCAGTCTCATGAGGAGTCACAACCAGTGTCCTGTGAACACACCAGCAGCTTCGTGGCTCAGCACATAACAGTGTCCAAGGGTCTCTGATGTCAGAGTCACAACAGAGGGGCCAAAAATCTTCCAGAGGAAGGCACAGCACTCACTGAAACATCAGCAACATCACCCCAGACAGGCTGCCACAGGCTGCTGACCCACAAAACAACACAGACACCTAATTTCCATCACAAGAAACCTGTCAGGTGTCCATATCAATTCAGTCACCACATGCAGGCCTAACACCACAATGATGGCACTGCCCAGGCCAGCGTAGTGACCACTCCAAGGTGCCACCCTCCCTGTCACACAGGAGGTTGGAGCCAGCGGTGAGGGACCACCCTGACATTCTTCAGGATTAAGCAGTGATTTCTGCAGAAAGATCTAACACCGATTCACAAGAGAAAAACTTCCTGGAAAAGACAATAAAGACCATTGGTGATACCTAAAACCCCCAGAGAAGCCCGAATCCATCCCTCTGGCACAGAATTTGGGAAACAACATGGAGCAGCGATTGCCAAACTTTAGCCAGTGTCCTGTCAGCACACTGCCAAGTACCCAGTGGTGGTCTGGAGAGCGCTCGTCCCACATGTGGCGAGGGTTCCACCACCCTGTCTCCAGCTTCCAAACTGCGGTACATAAACTTAACACACTTCTGATAATTTGAAAATATCAATTTGCCATCAGAACAGCCAAAGTGGCCACAGACATGTTGCCCAGCCTCAGATGTGAGGGAGACTGTGACTGCTGCAGGGCTAAACCCATGAAAAACATTTCTTTAAATATTTGGGAACTCCCATCAGAAGGGAAACATGAAAACACCTGACCCACTTCTATAAAACCAAACCAGAAATGTCACCCCTTTTTCTGAAATGCACACTGTACATCATGTTAGCAAGAGACAAAAGTATGATTAAATGATTAAAACACTGGGCAAGGCTCCTGAACACTACACAGTTTGGCACACTTGCTCATTTTTGGTGGTAGCACCTATATAACATTGTATTTTTGGTTGCAGTACTATATAACATTGTATTTTTTTTGTTGCAGTTCCATATAAGCATTAACACCAAGAGTGTTTTGAATTTCCAGGAGAGAGACAATTTTATACAACTAAACCCTGATTTTTATTTCCTTTGTTGACTATTTATTTGTTTGCATAATACCAAGAAAAACAAGCAGGGCCATAGATAAACTGTTTGCTACTAAATACTCCATGAACTTCTCAATACAATTATCTCAGGTTTTGACACGGTGAGAAATGAACTCCTCTTCAGTTTCCTTTCTTTAAAATCAATCTCTGGACACTACCGTGAGCTAAAGAAAAAGGGTGCAGCCCCCCCCAACAGTGCTACAAATCAATTCTACCTCTTTATGCCAGAAAACTAAACACCTTTCCTTGTGCTATTGACCCTGAGCTGCCCACAAAAAGATCATTTGCTTGATCAGTTACAACTAATCTCTTTCCATCCGTTTCAATCAAAATTTACCACCCTGTGCAGGCAGCTCAAACTCCTTTTGCCGTTTACCTCTTCAGGAATCCACTCTGTCATCACCGTGTTTGAAAATCTCAATTTTTTCACGTTCTTAAACTTTCTAAGTTTCAAGTACACATGCTTGAGGCTTCTCTCCAGCCTCACCTCGTCATCTGTGCCCGAGTCCTCACTGATACGGGCCAGCCACGTCCTTCAAAGCCTCCTGTCCCGCACCACACGTGCAGAGCACCCTTCTGCCAGCACTGGCACTAGGACTGGTTATTTCTGTATTTTCCTTCCTGTTTCTACACAGCCTTTTGCGTAAATGGCAGAACATCATTCCTAATGCCACGGCAAAGTTTCTTGAACAGTTTTTTCCGCGCCCGGAAGATGCGCGGGTGCCCCGGGGCCCGCTCGGGCATCCGAGAGCCGCACGGGCAGTGCCTCCCGCCTCCCCCGCCAGCTGTTCAGAGGAGACGCTGGGCGCTGGTTCCCATCAGAGACAGGCAGCCCAACCCGACTGAACCCCTGCCGCACAAAGCGCTCGTCCAGGTGATTTACCTGATTTTAATTGCACTTTTTACACTTTTATCACTCCCGCTGACGCTCCATCCTCCTCCTCCGTCACACCCGGAGGGAGCGAGGGGTCCTGCCGGGGGGCTGCCCCCGCGCCCACCCCCCTCCACCTGCCGCCCCCCTTCCCCGGCACCGGCCGCCCGGGCAATCCGGTGGCTGCTGCGGCTTTCGGTCCCCCCCAGCCGCCGCCTCCCCCCACCCCCATCGCACCAGGCACCGCCGAAGTTCCGCCGCCCGCCCCAACTCCGCCGCGGCCGCCCATTGTCTGCGCGCCGGGAGGCGCTTTGGGAGAAACGAGCCGAAAAGCCGAGTCCCCCGCCCCGCCCGGCCCCCCCGCCGCTCCCCTGCCCGCGGCCCCGCCAGGCAGGCCCAGCCCCGGGCCGGGCCGGCGCGGGGGTCCCCGGGGGCGCTGCCCGGGGGAGCCGCTCGGGCGCGGGGTGGGCGCCGCGCCAGCGGGGTCTCCCCCGGCCGCCCCTCGGCCCCGGTCCCCGCGCCGAGGGGCTCCAGGGCGGGCGCTCCCGCAGCCCCCGGCCCGCCCCGGCCATGGCCGCCCTGTCACCGGGGAACACCCGCGGGGGGCCGGGGCGCCCGAGCCCTGCCCGGGCGGGAGAGGCCGAGGCGCCGCGGCCGAGCCCGCTGACAGCGCGGCCGAGCTCCGCGTCCCCCGCCCCGGGCCCGGCTGCGGGAGGGACGCGGGGCGGCCCCGTCCCCTCCCCGGGTGCGCACAATGGCCCCCGCCACCCCCGGGGGCCTCCGGTGTCAGCGCGGGGGGAGCAGCTTTGTGCGGGTAACGCGGCCCCAAACCCCACAAAACACACAAAACCAGCGCGCGGGCAGCGCGGGAGCGGCGCCGGGGCAGAGCCGGCTCCTCCTTCCCCCGCGCCGGGAAGGCCTGCGGGAGGGAGCGCGGCGGCGGCGGCGGCACCGGGGGCGGCGGGGCCGGGGGCCGGGGTGCGGGCGCGGTGCGTTACCTGCCGTGGAACCAGTCCTTGCAGGCGTCGCACTCGATCATGAAGCGGGTCACGTCGTAGGGCAGCCGGCAGATGCAATAGACGGGCACCGTCGCCATGTTCGCGCCGATCCGCTCCGCTCACGGCGCCCGCCCGCCCGGCCGAGCGGAGCGCGGCGAGTGCGGGCACGGCGGGGCCGGGGCGCGAGGGGGGGACGCGGGGGGGAGAGGGGAGAGAGTGGAAAAAACGAAATAATAAAAAAAAAATAAAAAAAAATAACGCTAAAAATCCGCGGTAGTGGATTTAGGGCTCCTGAGGGGCAGGCGAGCGGTGCCGGAGGACAGGGAAGCGCTGCCCGGAGCCGGGGGCCATGGCCGGGTCCCGCCGCCCGCCGGCGCCGCGGGCCGGGGCTCTCTGTTGTTGTTGTTGTTGTTGTCCCTCCAGGATGGTGATTCCCGGTGCTCGGCGATCGCGGCGGTGCCCCCTGGTGACAGCCCGGCGCGGCCTCCCCGGCGGGCCCGGCCTTGCGTCAGCCCGGAGGGAGCGGGGCCGAGCGGGGCCGGGCCGGGCGGAGCGGAGCCGAGCGGGGGCT